TCTATGCTTGATGTTGTGCGTTATTGATTTTACGTCTAGTGGGTTTGTATGTGCTTGATTTGATTTGTGTTGTGATGTGATTATTGCATTTACTCTAAATTTATCTCTGCCAAGTGCCAGGGATACAACACATCTATGCGAGTACTGCACAGCCCTACATGGCTATTATTACGATCGACTATTGAGGCGCAGCTCTATACAATGGCATAGAGTAATGTGGGATAGTATTGCTTGGAATTAAGATTGTAGTACTTCATGCATAGACGGTGATGTACTGTATCGCGGGTGCCAAATATGTGTATATAAGTCCTATCTACTACTGTGATATGTAGAATAATATAACCAAGCTATTCATCATATCGTCAAGCTCTGATAATCGTTATCCACCCTCTGCACTATCCCTAGAATATTCAACATCTCATACCTACTCATACCTTAATTACAACACCAAGGCCTTCTCGGGCTACATTCGCCCAAGTTGTCTTTTGGGCCGGAGCCTGGTTTTTCGAAGGGTTAGGTACCCTTTGTTCATGAGCCCTCGGCGGAGGAGGGTTGCTGGGGCGCACAGGGAGAAGTGGTGTGGTGCTCCCCGGGCCTGACTGTACGAACTGGCCGATGGCCGCTCAAAGGTAGACTTTGATGCCGTCTACAAACTCTTTATCGTCGCCAATCGAGAGAGGCGAAAGTGCTGCTTCAACACTGCTTATTGCAGTGGAAAAGATTGATAAACGGGCCTTGATTTGCGTCGTGCGACGCTTCTCGGCCTCCATCACTGATTGCAACTCCGGAGGATATTCCGGTGCTGATGTCGAAGCTGTGCCTTTTGGGGCTGGCACAGTGAATTTCTTGCAGATGTTTCTGCTTGTTCTGTTGTCTTTTCTCGGACGACTTTCTTTCCTTTCCTTGAAGTGCTTTTCTCTGGGGTCAGCTCGATGGGAATGTTGGTCTTGGGACCAATTTTCTCTGACCCGACGGGCTCAGGATCAGTCATCTCTTTATCGGGAAGGTTTGGAGACTTCCCTCCGATGAAGGCCTCACTCGCAAGCATGCTTGATATTTTTTGTGCGAGGCCAGATGTTTTTGCGGGAGCCCTCGGGCGGACTCTCGCGTTGTCCAACATTGCATTCGTGAGCTTTTTTAGAACAGGTGGCATAATGAAAATGCTAGGAAATCGATCACAATCTATTGAGGGAATGCGACGAGCGCGAGAGGGAGGGAGAGGGGGAAAAGGTGAAGTTTCGAATTTTCGAATTTCAAAAAATTGGTTGTGTGTTGTGAGTTGGCACGAAATTTAATAATAATAATAACAATTATTTCAATTTATTTTCCTCTCTAAGTCTGCTACTATGTAGGACATATAGGTCCTCTCTGCCTACAGGCCATGGATACCTCTACTAGTAGTATATCCCCTCCTATGCCTCCCATACCGCTCCCCTCAAACAGTAACACCCCTCACAAGTCCTCATTCGATCATACACTGAGGAGCCCTTTGCCCTTTATTATCTCCCCTCTCCAGCCAACGATACGATGGCCATTTGCGGGTGTATGCCAGCCGGGAAAATCCGCAAAAACAACTAGGTGCGGAGCTCTTCTAATACCGATATTAGGACTCTATCCGAAGACATAGTGATCCTTCTGAAGCATTCGAAGGGGCCGGCCAGCTGGGCGCTGCAGACTTGTGTGTACCTCGGGAGATTCACCCTCTGCCTTTCTAGCTTCATTCCACCTCCTTCCCGAAGGTCGTGCAGCAAAATCAGAAAGGTCTTGATAGAGCGTGATTGATGTATGGTAGCTTAGCCGAACTTCTTTTGTAGCGTCTAGGGCGCTGGGGAATGCCGTTGACTCATCGACAATTGAAGCCCTCCTGGCTAATTAGCCGAGATATCGGTCTTTGTGCCGGTAAACGTTCCAAAGTTGAAATCCCCTCGAAAATATCGGTCCCAGCATGGTCTTCAGAGACTCCTTCCCCCTCTCGCTCCACATCTCAGGCGCCTATTCTCCCTCAAGGTGTTTGTCCCATTAGAGCAACGGTCCCCGATAAGCCAAGACGCAGGCTTTGTATTTTTCGACTTGACTTCCTCCATGCGGGTATAAATTGCGTCGTAAATGTGTAGTGAGAGATGGCTGGAAATTAATGGAGCAACTTCTTTATTGGTCGTTGAGGCGAGATAATGCGTGGTTAGAAAGTGGTTGAGGACTCAGACGAGAACGAGAATGAGAATGATAAGAAAGGCATTGTCGAGAAGTCGTCAAATGGAGATATGCTTGAGGTTGCTTTCGACTTTGATTCGACGATGATTCCTCTTGTTTATCCAAGATTTGCAGAACATACTGAGCGATTACACCGGCACCACTGGAAGGTGAAGAATTCGTCTTTGCCGGAAACATGGCCTATATGAAAGCCCCATTCGAGTTCATTTTCCTGATTTGGCGTCTTATGGGCCCATGCAAGTGTCCACAATCTGTAATATTTACACGGGAGGAAAACCTTTATGGTGAAAACCGCCCACACCTTTCTACTTGTCGTCTTTAGTTTTCATATATTTTCTTCAGTGAGCGCAGTTAGACTATATTGCCATCCATGTAAGCTAACCAGATAATCTCTACCCGGGCCAAGCATTACTTGACCTTTTCCTTTCCCTCAGCAGCATTTCGACCGCCTTTGCCATCTGGAATTACCCTATCCAACCACAATTTAGGATCCACTATGTTATTCTTCTGATGTCTTCAGGATCGTTTATCATTGCTTCGTAGGACCGATCTTTGGTTTGTCTACAGATCTCAGCTCTATCATTTGACCATCGGGGGCAGGACATAATCATATGCTTTGGGTTCTGTAATTGGTAGCCAAATGGACAACCTGGACTTAATACTTAGGGTACTTTTCTTCTGTGTCAATACGAGTTAAGCTCCATGTGCTTACTTCGTATTTGTATCGCCAAACTGCTTTGAACCCTTGTCGGATTTTATAAAAGCCCCAATTATCCTAAATTCTAACAAATTACACAATTTTGAAACGAGCCGCAGTATTTTTTGCATTAGATTTTAATTGCATATGTGTTGGGAATGGAGACACAAAGTGTTGTGGACGTACGTTCCCTACATTTCGTCTAGGTTCCCGACACAATCTTGTAGGTATTAAATAGATTGGAATCGGTAATAGAGTAGCGCTTTAGGCTACCTTTTGGATATATGAGTAGCTGTATGGTGTGGGTACATGGAGGTTATTGTGGGTTTTCTGTGCCTAGATAGCGCCACACACGTTTATGCTGTGACTTAGGCTCGTATCGCTTACACTTGTACTTGTGGCGCACACTTTCCATACTTCTATTAGTAATCCGAACATGACACTTATTTGTTCAATTTTTACATTCATTCCGTATTTATCACGCCCAAGTCATTGCGCAATACTTCCAACAATATGCAGCCATCTAGCTATGACGCAATGTCAGAGTAAAAGTAAAGAATTGTCACGGTTCGAGTGTCGATGCTGGAGCAAACAGGTATACGATGGTCGATCACTATTTTCTCTGTGCCTTTTTATGAAAGTCCTACTTCAACTATTTATACACTTACTATACTATCTGGAATAATCTTCTCGCCTATAACCAGTTTCTAGTATGTTCCCCTGAGGCCGTTTCGCAGTCCTATCACTAGTTGTTAGAAATTTCTAGTGACATCCCGATTTATCTATGAAAAAATATTGCGTTTCGAATATTTGTACAGCACGTGACTATCATCATGTGACATTGAATAATTACCGGCTCACTAGCCGTTACAATAATATATGACTCATTATACAATTAGAGCACCCTTATCTCGGATTTCGTTTGCAAGTACCACTCCGAAGTCATGGCGGAGTTTTCTTCACCACAATTGGACTCTCATCAGTGACAACCTACCAGGGAAACAGCTCGAAAACTCTGAGCTACTCGGACATGCCTCCGTCCATCGGTTTTTCTCCGTGCGAAATATGATCTGAAGCGTCTCCTTACTGTTTAAACTCGAGGAACATGAGATAATTCACGAGTGGTCAAAAGCAAGCGTAGACTCAAATCATAAGATTCTAAACTAAAGAGATAAGTGTCTAGGAAGACAGAAATCTATATCTATGTACATAGGAGTTCATGAACTGTTCAAATAAAGCATTTAATACGAAATCTCCTGTCCCTAGTCGTCTATAGCCCAATGGTTTCGTATGAACACCAACATCTATGAAAACCCTTTAAAATCGTAGTTTTTCATAAATAAGAGTCGTGTCTGTATGGAGCTAGTCATTGGAATTCTGGATGTAATCCAGAGTCGGCCCATAGGTGATTGGCAACCGTATACGTGGCCATTTGAAATGTTTGGGCGTCACAGTCACCGAGTGGAGTAGGTGCTCAGACTAATCAAACTATACTGGAGATCACCACCAGGAGGCGGATCACGGGAAATTTAATCATTGGCTTGTGTTAAAGTTGTGAGCTGCAATCTCATTATCGAAGTATTGGCGCACAAAATGCTCTTAAATATTTAAATGTCCTTGCTAAAATTCGAAACATCACATCTGTCGAAATTGTATCCTTGCTTTGCGTCATCTTGTAAACTTGTCTGGATCTCTCTCACGACCATCCCAAAAAAAACTTCCTTCCTAATTTGATGGCTACGAGCTTTGTCCTCCTGTGGGCATTGGTATTGTGACGGGCGAATATTCAATAACTAGCCTAGGTCTGAGAAGAGTTGATGAGAGGATGTGCTAGGTCGTACTTTTAAACTTGATTTATTTTAGGAAGGAATCGATCTCGTTGGGAGTGAAGATTTGACATTGTGAAGTATTTGAATCATTGCCTCGTGGGCCAACTTGTTCGGTATTGCGAAATTTGACTGAACTTGGCTCTAGGAGAATCTTTCACTCCCAGATTCGTAGAGGACACCGCGTACAGGTGTTCAGTCTTTGACCTCCGAGCTCTAGCATTGAAGGATTATCTAAAAGCCAGTCTAATTATATTACCATTGCCTTAAAGGTCTAAGACTTCACGATTCTCTAGTACCTGCTGCACAAGGGTTTTCAGTTCCGTCACCTCGTACCTTAATTTACCCACGGCTAGAGTCGTCTGATTAACTTGTGGGTTAGGCTTAACCTTTTCAACCTTATTTTTCCATCCTTCTGCCTCGAAATTGCACTCTCCAAGCATTTGCTCCCACTCCTCTAAGATATCGTCGTCAATTTCACCCTGTCTACGATTGCCAAGAACCTTGGCGGCACTACGTGTCTCAAAGTAAGCTGTCACCAAAAGTAGTGGGCAGTAGAGAATTTTCATGACAATTTTGTTGAGTCGGGTATACATTTGTCTTGGTAGCCACCATTCAAAAGGTAGGATGAGAAATACAATTTCAACAAGGTTGAGCGGGGCGATGAATACATTCTCGTCCGGAGCACGTACAAACTGTATGGTTTTTTGGGCGAAAAGAGCGAGATATTCGTCAATCGCATTGTCAGTGATATCTTCATAGGCGGAGTTAAACAGTGCAATGAGAATATTTAGTAAGATGACCATGATCAAAAACGTAAATATGTAGTATAAGATGATACCAAAAGGTGGCGCAAATTCATTAAAACTTTCCAGGTCAGGTGATTGCATCACAGCATTAACCATTGCTTGAAGTATAAATGAAGTTGCATCGATGCTCGAGTCTGCAGCATCCATGCCAATGAACGCTTGCAGGAATCCGACAAAAATAAAGGCCAGAAGTGCAAAGAATATCAGGGACTCGGACATCATTACTTTGAGAACGATGAGCATAGTACCAAAGAAGCGGATACTATCAAAGTACAGAAGGAGACGCATCCAGAACATAGGAGCTGAGAAAGCTAGACAACGGATTAGCAATCGAAGGTATTTGCTTCGAGAGTGAAGGCAAGTAGATACCTAGAATACGATAACTTAATTCGTTGAATTTATCTCGGTTTCCGAGATTGTTACTATTGTCTATAGGATGGCTCAGAGCAACTATTCTCAGAACCATGCTACTAGTCAAGAGACCATAGAGAATGAGGTTGAATACATTCCAAAATCTTATGTACCAATAGCCCACCTTCCTGAACTTATTGAATTCATCACATAGGAAGCCGAGGGTAAAGAGATATAGTGTGATCTCAACGATATCAAAGCTTCCAGTGCGATTAACGGTGTTGATTGAACCCGTAAATAGACCAAGATAAATAAGAGAGAAAACGACTTGTGCGGCATTCTGGTAGACGGGCGCGCGCATACGATCTGGATCCACATGGGCCCAATACGAAGGATTGGCCTTCTTCTTATATTCGACAAACTGGCTAGTGTTGTTGTCATCTTGTACAAGCCATCCGCGCCACAAGTACTTAACGCATTTCTGGTATCCGCACGAACCGATAACTCTCAATGCATGTAGGTCGACAGCACGCTCAATCACGTTGGCTGGCACGCTAGGCCTTCCGTTTATGAGAAATTTATAACGTGTGAGCAAAACAGTACTCATAAGATACTGTTGATTGTCCTCCATTTCAATCCTAAATAGATTTTTGAGTATGTCTATCCCTTGAGATGTGTGGGTGGCTTACAGATTCTTCGCAATAACATCACAAGCTGTCGCGCGTAATTGATGCAATTCGGAATCCCAGAGTTCTGATGCTGCCTGCTTGCCAAACCATCGTTTGTTCACCAGCAGACAAAAGACAACGCAGCCGCGCTCCTTATATCCACCCGCTTCGCTTGCTGCTCGAAGCACGCTGGTGGTAATTATCTTCGAATGCGCATTTGTGATACATTTCTCTTTGACTTCATACGGAATACATTCTTTGATGAGGTAACGTAGGCGCAAGGCGATCTTGGTCACTTCAGCTGGAGGAACAGCGTTTGCAATACTATCTTGGCGTATTGGAAGAACTGGTATCTTGGTGAGCCCGGCTAAGACCTCAGAAGCACCAATTCAAGAAATGCACAGCTTACGGCGTTGACTTTCATGACTCATACGACGCTGGTGATTACTGCGATGTTGTCAGCTTGTTGTGCGGGGATAATCGTGGGAATGCAAACGGGTTACTGAATCCAAAAAAATTCATCCAATGTATTAAAACCATGCCGATTTGAAGTTCGTAAATAACTCATGCGGCCTTTATTTTGGATGTTAAATGAAAGAACTCTTCTTTTTCATATTTGTAGTTATACAAGATAATCCTAACACATGCATTTTGTCCATCTGTCAACATGAAATCTTGATTTCATTGGTTACAAGATCTCACATACCTTTCACTCATGGGTCAAGGTGCTACTACGAATATGAAACATAAATATGTTGCTGACGTGCATTAAAAATCCTTGCAAAGTCAAAGGTGTCTATTATACATGTAGCAAATTACACACTTTTAAAACTTGTGTATTGATCTAAATTTCCTTTATACTTTTACTTTCCCAGCCAATTTATCTTCCAGAGCTCGCACGGCTATCTGTGCCTTCTCTTCCTCAGACCGAATCAATTCCATATTCGCAGCTTCCAATCTTTTTCTTGTACGTTCAAGCTGATCGGGTCTCCTCACTGCAATATCTTTTGGCTTATAGTCACTAAACGCGAACATCAATGTTTTTTCGATAACCCAACATCCTAAATAATCGAGTATCATGACAGTTGTCATAGTATACTTGAAGCTTCCAGAAAAGGGAACTAGTCGCATTTTCTCATTTATCTCGGGAATAAATTCCGTGGAACAAGAGAATGCTATACCAGATACTCCGATGATGCCCCAATACATTCCTCGGTTTTCAGAGAGCGATTCACGGAAAGGGCGGCCTTGATAATTTATTGCGAAGGTTGAGATCTGCTGTATAAGTTGAAGAAGATAAACTGCGCTGTTAAGGAGTGACGGTGCGAACTCGCCTTCGAGATCGATACTCTCATCGCGGCTATAAGATGTTACTTACCGAGAAAATACAAAAGTTAGACAGTACTTACGGAGCAATTTGATCGCAGTATCTAGCAATGTATATGAGAGTGACAATATGAACCGCAAATTGCCCAAGAATAGAACCAATTATGTAAAAGTTAAATATATTAGGTTGGGGTCTTTCTTTAGATAGACCTTCCACAGATTTGGCGCGAGAAATTGACAAGAAGCAGACAGACATAAGCATGCCACTTATAGTGACTTGCCCATCACCAAATTTTATTCCCTCAAGATAGAGCACGCTTAGGCTGTACGCACTGATCAGACAATTGAGTGCTAAAATCTTGTACATTTGGATCGTGGCCACGAGTGTACATCGACCTTGCCTAATAATGTTAGGAATTGCAATAACGTTACTAAGTTTGCTCGTAAAGGGCGCTGCGACAGATGCGTCGCCTAGTTTTATTGTAGGAGGCTCATCGTCCATTTCTTGATTCATCATACTCTGCGTAAGTTTATCGGCTAGGTCACTAGCTTTGATTTGTACATCTGAAGGCTTATCTTTCTGAGTTACCAGAGTTTCCTGGATATTGCTAAGGGGAACGTTCTCTTTCTTTTTTCCTAAGTTTGAGTTATCACACTTGTTCAGTGTATTTTTTGAAAGTGCTTTTTTCTCAGATTCTCGGGCAATAGCCGTCGCGTAGTGAGGATTTGAAGGACCTGGAGGGTACAATTGAGCTATGGCAATAGGTACAGGTGGATCTGGTTTGTTGAATTTCTTCATTAATTGGCATTGCTTCTCATAGAATTCTTTCATTTTAGTAGTCCTGAAGTGCTCTGCAATCTTGTTGAGATCCTCTTGAGATCCGTTAAGTAATGCGACCCCAATATGCGCCTGCTTTAGAGCACCAACATCGTTTGTGCCGTCTCCAGCCATGAGGGTATGGTATCCAAGATCCCTAAGACCCATAAGAATCTCTTCTTTCTGTTTCGGAGAAACGCGAGCATAGACCCAAGTATATCGAAAAATAGAAGAAAGAGCAGCCTTACTCTTAAACTTTGATAGAGCAAACCCAGTGACACATAAGTCATAGTTAGCGATAATATCCTTTTCAATTGGATGATTGGGATCAGTTGGGATGCTGATTGAGTCATCGACACTTTTCCAAACAACCTTCTCTCCCGAATCGTCGTGTTCAGGTGAATCTAAGATGAGAACATCTCTATCAATAATTTCGACCTCACGAGCAACATGACAAGCAGTGAGTGGGTTATCACCCGTGATCATGACGACCCGATGACTACTTTCGTTAAGCATCTGCACAGATTTCTTGGCATCGTCTTTGAGGGGACATCGTAAGACTAAGAAGCCTGCAAAACATAGACTCTCTTCAACGTTCTCGCGCTTGAGATCATTCACTCTTCCAGAACTGATGTCACTATCAGCCGATATATATTTGTAAGCTAAAGCTAAAACTCGTGAACCTTTTCTAGTGAAATATTTATAGGTTTCTTCATAGTTCTCTGGAACTTTTATTAGCATTGTGACTATGGTTTCAGGGGCCCCCTTAACAGCGACAAACGCGCTTTTAAGTTTTTTGCCAGTGCCGGGTTGTTGAGATGTGATGTTAGCCACAGAGCTTTGGCGTTTTAAAGCGGAAGAAAATTGGAATCGGCGTTTTATCTGGGCTGTGACAGGCAATGTAGTTTTATTGGTCGTCAGGGCCTTGCCTGTGAGAATATCATTATTCCCTAATGCCCATCCTAAGGAAGATAAGGTCGCTTTTTCCATAGGGTCTCCGACAATTTCACCTTCATTGAGCTTAACAAGAGCATGAGCAGTAGCAAGGACTAGAGTTGTTTCAAGGCCAGCCTGAGAAACAGGTGTAATATGACTCAAATCAAAATCCATTTTCTCCTTCTCATTTGACCGCAAAATATCAAGGTTTAGGCCGGCGATACCCTCCACTACCAAGTCCTCGCCTGTTAGGGTTCCAGTCTTGTCAAAACAAGCAACATCTACGCGGCCAGCATATGGAATACGGAATGGCTCAGTGCAATAGATGGCGTAGCGGCTAAGAGCTGCGAGACTAGTATTAACGGCAAGACTCAGTTCCATTGGAAGTTCAGGAGGTACGACACTCGTGACAATCAAAACGCAGTCGAGCATTAGCTTGGAACGCTTTCTATCTTTCTTGACACCCTCATCCCATACATACCAAGAGGCTGCAATTGCAAAGATCAGTAAAAAAAGAATGAAAAGCAGAGCTTCGGCATTATTCGCTGAGACGCGTTCCGTTGAGTAAATCATGGTGCGAACCAGGCTTCCTTGAGATGTCTCAAATCCAGTCTTAGTAACGATAGCCATGGCTCCATCATCAGGAGGAGCTGGTACACATGATATAATCTTTGGTCTTTCCTCATCACTGTTTCCATGTGTGATCTGAAGAACTTTGGTTCCTCCGTAGAGGAAAGAGTTCTTGTCAAGTCCTTCTGGTTCTAACCTGGCATCCGATGGGCGAAGCTGTATTGAGTCTTTTAGTAAGGGTGTACTTTCGCCTGATAACATTGCCTCGTTAACAATAGCACCTCCCTCGACGAGAAGCATGTCGCAGGCGACTCCACTGTCCTCTTTTGTACGCCCGACACTTACTAAGTCTCCGGGCAGAAGTTTGTCGCTTTGCGTTTCTTCCCATCTGTTCTTCCGAAAAACCCAGATATCATATGGTTTGATGCTCATACCACGAAATTCACTTAGAGTTCGTTGCCTTTGCCAAACAACTGTGCTCTCGAAAACTACCAACATGAAGAGGGTAAACAGAGAGTAGTACCAATATTCATCTAACATCCATAGCCCAACGCAGAATATCTGAAATACGAAAAATGGCGCTACCGCATGTTCCTTGAAAAGTTCTGTGAAACTTGGGACCGGGATGTCAAACGTGTTATCACCGTAGTGGCGTTGGATCCGGGTAAGGTTGGATTCTGTATCTATACCTCTAGACTTCTGAAAATACTCGAGAAAGGGCTTCGGCTCGGCGTCGACAGCAAATGATAAAGGTGAGAATTTGTTAGATTCACTACTGTAAAGGAATCGACGTTTTTGAAAGAGAAAAGATATTGTCTTCTTGCCACCGGTCTGTAAAGTTTTAGTAACTGTTCGGATCTGCTTTATCGTACATACATTGCCCTTGATTATCTCACAGATGTCAGAAGCACCGGCATTCGGGGCTGGGATAAGCTTGATAAGTTTTGCATTCTCAACACTATTGGCCGAGATAGAAGTGAAAAGCGCACGAAGGTTGACGTTCCAGTGGGTACTTAACCAAAATAGACTTTGAACTGTGATAATGGCACCACACCAGACAAATGTCCATTCCTGACCTCCGATATGTTTATCGTAGAGGTCATTTGAAAGGTAATATCGAAAAAATATGGGCCATATTATGGCGAAAGGCCATATATAAGTATGAAGGTAGAAAGGCACTTTTATAATTAGCACAATATGCCTTCTAGCAACGTGAATTACTGACAAGGGTTGTGTAAGGACGCTGAGAGAATCAGTGGACTTTCAACAATAACTGCCATGGCGTGAAAATAATCAAAGTTATCTGCCTAGCATTCGACTTGGATACAAACCTCGAGTCTTTTCTTTGTTAACAGCATTCCTTTCGCGCACAGACCGCGATGTAGGACTATGTGATAAATTGAATAACATGGACCAGCTGACGTTTGTCATGGACTCTGATCACGTGGAGACTTATCTAATCTTTACCTATTTCCGTATCCTTGACTGAGAGCACAAAACCGCCGAAGCACGATCCGTATTTCTTCCATTACATTCTGGTCCAATACTTTTAGGTTGCAGATACGCATAAAAATGCAAGCGATTAAATTGACTTGAACCCTCACGGTCTCCCAGGGGATGAGCATTGAGCATCTGTTGAAGGCGAATCCTATGAGCTTGAGCATGAAATATTCGAATTGGTTCCAGACTTGACCTAGAAGAAGACAAAGTAAATTCTCCGTTTCACGCGCATACTGGCTATTAACCCGATCTTCATACTCAAGATATCTCCAAATTTTTGCTTGCGATAACATTAATGCCTGCAGGAAGAAAAAATCGTGGCTCACAAACCTTGGAGGGTAGATATTTGGAATGGACGTGATAGTTAACAGGACAGATGTGTAAGGTGACACCAGAGATAGATACCATCTTAGACGAGATAGTATTTTGATTATTGGGAAGGGTATTTCTAAATTGGGGAGCATTTTTATATTTGATCTGTTTAAATTCAAAGTTTTGTCTGTCCACAGCTCATAATTTTAGTCGCATGGCGGACGGCCCAGACCCGAAAGAACTATCGGCGCTCTAGCACGTATTTCAATAAGATAAATTTCTTTGCAGTACGATGCTTCAATCACCTCTTTCTGGACACACGAAACCCCCTCTTGATTCAGGCAACTAGGCATTGGACCTAATCTGGGAACAGTACCGGAACTGAATGCTTTTAAAACGATGTGCATTCGGAGCGTCAAGTGCAGCTCGTTCCGGACATGATGATCTTACCGAGTATCATCGTCAGTTTGGATAACAATTTTTCCTCATAATTTGTTCTATTGGCGAAAATTAAGCCCGGATCACTTCTACTGCACGAAATTAAAACGAAAATATACAAACTTCTTCTGCCGCAGTATAGGTAGAGCCCGTGTGCGCCTTCGTGGCGGATCTCGGCATCCCCGCTCCGTTGTCATATAGATACTCAGCACGCTTAAAGGCGCCCTCGCGTTCGGGAAGTGGGCCAAGCTGACGAAGATATACTGCAAAGTGCAATGAGCTCACTAGTGTGTGTGTGTGTTTCTATTGTACCACTCGAATCTATATCTATCTAGCACGTTTGGCTCCTCTGACACAGGCCACACCTTGTACAGTGCTCCTTTCCTCTTTTGTTACTTGTAAGATCATTGATATATTGCCCGTGATGAATAGCCATTCAGCTCAGTGTTTACCCGTGGAATTCGGCCACCTTTTCCACGGAACCTTCTTCCCAAAAAAAAAAATGGTAGCAATGGAAACTGCGTGCGCGGGAAAAAGTCTCAAAAAACCTGCAACCCCAGCCAGACGAGGCATAGTCACATTTTTGTCATAGCTCAATAGCTGAATACAACATGAAAAAAAGGAGGCCTAGATACTGGGAACAGATGAGGTGCATATATTCATCTATATCTCCCTTCTTTGTAACGTTCGAGGTTAACTTGATCCAATCCTCCATCTCTGTATCGGGTGCTGGGTACGCTCCAGAAACTCATCGGATGGCTTTCCCTACATCATCAAGGGTTAGTGATGAGTAGAGCTCAGACCCTACCATCTGATATGACCGTGGTTAGCTTCATGATAATGGTGATAGGGAAATGTGGTCAGAGATGAAGACGATACAGACGGCGAAAGCGATTGGTAATCCCCGTCTAAGTGAGGACTTTGTTACTCAATCTCGGCTCTGCAGACTCTACAGTGAGAGCTGAAGGTTCGTAGAGGAAACCACTGATAGGTTTTGAGAATAGCCCCCCTGCCCTGATGACTTGCTTTCTACTACTCCCAGTCTCATGGTGCCGTACCAAATATATTTATGATGGAGGTCTTTTATGATCTTTGCCACGCTCCATAGATTTACCAACAATTACATTTTTGGTGCTGGGCTTCCTGGGCCTAGCTATTTCTACGTATTGCCTCACAAAGATTTATGCACGCGCCTCCCGATCTAGGCGGGTTGCTTGGAACAAGTTGTATTAAAGAACTTTGGAAGGACAAATCACCTTTGAAAATCGCAATTACATGTATAACTACTGAAGTGAGACTAGATACACAATTTGTAGTCATGTGAGTGTCATCCATGTAATCAACTTGATAGCGCCAGTCATTCTAACTTCTAACATATACTACACTTCCATGATGAAAGTATAAGAACACACGGTATTCCGAAATAAAATGCTGGAGAGCTTAGAGCAGGATTAGATTGTTTTGAATTTCATTCATGTATCGTGAAGTCAAGCCAATGTCTCGTCTGAGGTGGAATAAAACGTTCAAGCGAACGATGATAATATTCGGACTATCTTTAAGTATTTCGATCGTGAGATTGTGGCAAGTCATCAGAAGATCTTTGAATAGATAAAGTTTGAGTCATTAATTGGGTTGCATTCTGTATAAGCGTCAATATATATTTTATGCTTTGCGTGCCAACAACAGCCCGGCTGGCACAATTGGTTAGCGCGTGGGCCTTTTAAGCCCAAGGTTGAGAGTTCGAGCCTCTCGTCGGGCGGCCCTTGTGGGACGCGGGGTTAAAACCTTTTTGGCCTCGATGCAATTGCAGCGCTGACATCCTCGTGCCTCATGATCACTCGTAATTATTGCCGCTATCACTGATGCCTTACCAACACTACCGCATATGAGTTGATTTCTTCCCTTTATTGAACACATTTGGACCTCACTCAAGTTATCCTCGCCACGAGCTGCCTTCAAACATTGTTAGGCTCAACGATGTGAGCCTGACTCTTCAGTATTAGAATAGCGGTTTAAAGTGTTATTTTCGCGACCGTTCCGTGTGTAGCCAAGGCCTGGGCTTTCACAGCAGTTTTATTTCTAGTTTCAGGGAATAGTAAGTGACCCATTTGATAAGACAAATGATTTTGATATTCTTGTCGCGAGTTGAGCATGGACGTTTGGATGCTTTTGAGATAGAGATATGTGTGTTTGTTAAACTAATGATGTCATAGACTATGAATGCTTAGGAGGTTAAATGTAAACAAGATTTCGAATCATTTCTGCTTGAACTTCTGATTTCTACTTCGACTATTTATGCACAAATCTATTTACTTGATTGTCTAGAATATCCATTCTTGTCTGACGCCAGCGTCTCGTGGGCTCAACTCAGATTTATTCAACTTTGTGTATCTAATTGCTACAATATTCTTGATACTCCTGAACTGATCTAGAGTGAACTGCCGACTATCGTGGGCTTTTTGAAAAATGTAATTATCGCCGGGTGCTACTAGCAAATTATCAACTCGACAGCTCCTATAGTTCTCAGTAGCTTTTAAGTTATTTGTAATCTCCACTTGATCTATGACTAGATAAAGACATGCGCTTCCTTGTGACTATAGGCAAGGACTATGTAAGACTCATTCAAGACTTCTTTTCTAGCGGTAATATGGATAGAGATACTCATTTGAGAACACATTTGAAGGAGGAATTATCTAGTTGTTATCTTCACTTTCCAATCAACAATATGATGACTATTAGCTCGTTCATCGCTGCGGGGAAAAGTCTTAAATACTACTGGGGACGTGGCTCTCCTAATACCGACGTCAGGAATAAATCCGAGGACAAAGCTATCTATCGGTAGCATCTGAAGAGACCGACTAGTCAGGTGCAGAAGACCTAAGAATGACAGAGAGCTTCTCTCGACCATCACAGCCTCTCCCTTACTTATTCCCTGACTCGTGATGTATGACAAGCCGAAGGTCGTGAAGGTACATCAGACAAGCCTTAGTCATGATATTTGCCATGAATTAGCATTGCCTTAGCACCTAACATTTTTGATGCAAGTGAGGTTGTATATTAGCTCATATAATTTGGATATTCTACGGGCCAGTATTGGCTAAAGTTATGATGAAAGGAATTGAAATCTACTTTTTCCGCAGGCGTAAGGGTCTCATACCAACTTTCGTAAACTTTTGATTGTACGACTGTGGGCAGGATATGTTATGATATGACGAGGGCTTCTCTATTTATATTTGTAGCAGTTGTTATCGCTAAATATTTCAAATTCAACCGGATTCATAACGTCCTAAGTATTATTAGAGGCTAATTAGCCAGGAGGACTTCTTTAATCGATGAGTCAACGGCACTCCCCAGCGCCCTGGACGGCACAAAAGAAGATGGGCTAAGTGTTATGCTCAGCTATGTAGTATGGTAGATCTAGTAGCTAGTGCATAGGTAGTTATTATGGCACATGAAGGAGACCAAGTCTCTACATAACGACATTACAATTAGTAATGTGTGCAGTACGAGAGGTGGGTGTTGATATAGTACAAATGGTATGGCTGCTTATTTGGTGAGCTGTATACTGGTTACGTGATCGGTCCATAAGCGAACAAGCTAGGGGATATATATATACAAAGGGGACCAAATCTCTATTAACACAGATATACCTCAGGGATCAGCTATATCTCCAATTCTATTCCTGGTTTTTGTCAGCACCCTATTACCACTGCTTCAAACTCCCTCTAGCTTAGCGGTAGGATTTGTAGATGACACTAATAAACTGATGTGGTCAAGCTCTACTGAAGAAAACTGCTGAATATTAGAGGAAAAGCACAGCATATGCGGGGAGTGGGCAGAGAAACACGGAGTAAAATTTGCACCGGAGAAGTACCAATTGATGCATTTCACACGAGCAAGGAGTAGATACAACCTTAAAGCCACCGTGAGTATACAAGGGCACCTAACTTCACCGCAGTCCTCTCTTCGAGTTCTCGGAGTCTTCTTCGACCCCAAACTCCACTGGGGAGCCCACATAAAGAATATCCAG